ACCCCCAAAAAACCCAAAAGCTCAATTACTTGCCTGCAGGACTCTGGCAGGATATGCATGCATATTCTTTCTAGAAGAGGATATCTTCATCCTAGGCCTCAAATGCAATGACCAGGACACAAATATAACTAGGAATTTAAGGAAACTCATCTTTCATGCAGGAGAACCAGCACAAAAATAGACAATAGACAGAGTCTGGCAGAGACTTCAGATACTGGAACTATCATACAGTGACTGTAAAACATTTACTCTTACTGTGCTTAAATGTATATTGAAGATGCCTGCAAAGAATAAGAAATGACAGTGATATAAATGGGGGAAAAAACCTTAAATGGAATCTCAGAAATTACAAAACACAGTAATAAAAATTCCAAAAACATTGGATGGCTTTACTAGATTAGTCACAGATGAAGAAGAAAATTAATGAAATATTGACACCTTACTAGGTTTGATATATTCTGACATTTTTCTATTCCAGGTATCTAATTTTGAAATTCTCAGATGATTGAGACCAAATAAGCTGATTTTACACCCCCATGCTGTCTTTTCTTTTTTCCCCCAGTATAATTTAAACCAATGTTCGCTCCATTTAATGTAACTGTCAGGGACATTATTTTTTAAAGCTTTTATTACAAAACAAAGTTGAGAATTGAAATACATACCTCTGACAAATCCTTTAGGTGCTGGTGTTGCTAGAATAAACTAAATGCAGCTGACTTCATCAATGCCTCCTCTGTGGCTTTTTCACTCTTGGGCAGAAAGAGGAATCAGACCAGGAAGAAGGCGAGTTTGGTTTTTATTCTGGGGTATGTAACCTCAGAGTCTATAGCATTTTCCATTGGGAAAGTTTTCAACTGGTGAACTACCACCTACAAAGTAAACTTAGTTGAGATTACTGTAAGTATAGAATTAATAGAGTTTACTAGACTCAATATTATATTTGGAAGGACTCACTGATTTCTACTGGCCACAAGTTTTCAACAACTGCAATTAGACAAGAGAAATAATATCTATAGAGTTTTTCATAAAGCTGATTTACTTAAAAGGATTGATCTTTTGCAGCATTCACAGAAAAAAAGGGTTGACCTTTTAGAGGATAAGTTCTATATTTTTATTTTGGTCGTCAAAATAATTTAAAAAGGAAATGATGCTGATAATAAATGGCAGTTGTTTTTTGTTTTATAATGTGGTTAAATTTAAAAATGGTAGTCCTATTGGTTCCCATAATTATTTGGAAAATATGGATTGATCCATAAAGTTCAAAAACTGGGACCAGCACTGATGTCATTTATCTCTTACTTGTTCATCCAACAAATATTCTGAGCACCTACTATGTGATCAGAGAGGGAGCACAATAGCAAGACTGCACCGTGTGCCCTTCCACTCACAATGAGCAAGGGACACATTTAATCAATAGTTACGAAGAAGTTAAGCAGTGCTCGGTGTCCTGGGAGCCTGTTGGGGGGAATGAATCTTACTGAAAGAATAAAGCTGAGCTGTCTTAAAATGCAAGGGTATTTGCCTGCTGATGAGGGAAAAGGAGTGAAGGCAAGAGAAAACCATTTTGTTCAGAGAATCTTAAACGGTTCTAGGTGACTGAAGTTGGGGTATCTGGTAAAGGCTAAGATGTGGTGAGGATGAAAAGAGATTAAGTGAATCGGGTTTGATAAGAGTTTTTGTAGGTTTGGCTAAGGACTTTGATTTTTTTTTTTTAATTGTGGTTAAAAACAAAAAACAAAAAACCCTAACAGAACATTTATCATCTTAACCACTCTACGCGTACAGTTCAGAACGGTTAAGAATATGCATATTGTTGTGAAGGACCTTGACACTATCCTATAAGCAAATGAGATTAATGGAATTGTTGAAAGATTTTAGTATAGGACTGGAGATTCAGGAAGATTGTTTTAGAAGGTGGGGGTAGTGGGAGGTAGGGGATGGAAGCTAGACGGACTGGAAGGGGCTGCGGGAGGTTTTGAGGGGGGTGTGGCTTGGCACCAGGTTTTTGCCAGCGGGGAAGTTAGAGGAGGAACTCAGCACGGCCCTGGCTGAGGCCCAAGCCTGCACGGGCCAGCTTTCTAGGCGCTGCACCCTTGAAGCTAGTGGGCCACCTCCAGCCGGGATATATTTTGTTAAATCCCTATAAGTAAAAAAAAAAAAAAAAAAAAAAATTTTTGGATGAGTTGCAAAAATTGAACAATTTGGTTTCATACAAAAAAATTTCCAGTTTTTCTTAAAAAATAAAAATAAAAATATCTGGGAACACTGGACCCCTAGTCCCTCAGGGAAACAATCACCAGAATTCACGTCACTTAAAAGAAAAACACCAACTCTTATATGAACGTATGAGAAACGTGGAAGAGCATACACGTCAGCGTACAGCTTGAGGAATGTTCACAGAGCTAACCCCCCACCCCCTACCAGCACCCATGTCGACAAGCAGAACAGTGCCAGCACCTCCGAGGTCACGTTTATTTAATCTTACTAACAATCTTATGAGGCAGATTATATTACTATCGTCACTTCAAGGACGGAGACACTGAAGCACAGACGGGTCACAAGGCTTAATACTGGTGATAGCAGCATTTCAACCTGGACCTGCGGATTCCAAATCCCACGCGCTGGAGGAGAAATAGGTTTCAAGGTGAGACGGCGACTTCAGCTTTGAACGATGGTGAGTGGGCCAGGCGTTCCCTTCCACGGAAACTTACTTCCGCGTGTCAGAGCCACGGAAACCACAGTAACCTGAAGCCTGCACCGCGGCGGCGGTGGAGCGCAGTCTCCCAGTGAGCAGTCTCCCCACACTTGAGGGCGCTGTCGCAGCTGCAGTTGGGGGTGTGCCTTCTTGTTGTCGCGATATTCTTGAGGAGGGAGAGACGTGGGTCAAAGGTCACGTAGACGGCGCGCCCCGCCCCGTACGCCTAAGTTCTCGCGCGAGTTCTACTTCCGCCCTTTTGGCTCCCTGAGCAGCACCATGGCGGTGGGCAAGAACAAGCGCCTTACGAAAGGCGGCAAAAAGGGAGCAAAGAAGAAAGTGTAAGTGGCGACTGTCGTGGCTCTCCGCTTTTCAGGGTCCTGCTGGGATCGGCGGGAGGGTAGCGGGTCTCGGTGTGGGCCGGATGGGGAGGATGCCAGTCGGATTGAGCTGGCCGTGCTGGGTTGGTAAACTCCGAACTGCGGCCTGGCAGGTCTGGGTGCTGTGTCGCAGCGGGTCGGTTGTCTTTCCCCTGGCCTTCTGGGACGGTGCTTGCCACTTTGAGCTGGATTGCCGGCGCGAGTCGGCGGTGGCGTGTTGCATATTGTGGGCTCACGGGCCTCCTAAGTTCCACGGATAGTGGTTGCCACAAAGCTGGAGTTGAGGAAAGCACTCTTGTCCACTCGGGACCCCGCACCGCTTCTCTGCTTGGGCGGGGTGGAACCTGGGAGCTCCAAGTGGGCTCGCGTGAGGCCCTGTAAAAGAACCTGGGTTACCAATACGTGCTCTTCGTACTAGGAAAGTTCAAGATAGTTGCGTGTAATTGGGAGACAGCGCTGCCTACGGGGTGGGGGTGGGGAGCGGGCACGTTTGTGGCTTAACCGTGGGACGGGCGCAGTGGGAAGAGGTCCATCTACGTATATGCCCCTCGCCTCACCGTGAGAGGTTTACGTGCCAGTTAGCCTTTTAAAGTCGTTCGAATGAGGAAAATAAAAGTCAAGGATTATGTGATCTGCGATAAAACCGAAGCATTTTGTTTTTAAATGCAGGGTTGATCCATTTTCTAAGAAAGATTGGTATGATGTGAAAGCACCAGCTATGTTCAATATCCGAAATATTGGAAAAACACTAGTCACGAGAACTCAAGGAACCAGTGAGTATCTTATTCTTGGCTTGTATTTTCCTTAAATTGAGACGTATGTATCTTAGTCTGCAGTTGGTCCTGTGGTGTGAGACTAAGGAAATAACAGCTCTTCGTAGCAGCGTCGGCCCCTGTGGTGCTTGTTTTGGGGACACTGGTAGAAGCAAGATGGTACTTTAACTTTCTGAGCTTACCTTTATGCATGAACATTATCTTTGTGGACTTGACTTTGCTTTTGTGGTTCCCAAGGTTAATAAGACAATTGATTCTTGTTTTCTAGAAATCGCATCGGATGGTCTGAAGGGTCGTGTGTTTGAAGTGAGCCTAGCTGACCTGCAGAATGATGAAGTTGCATTTAGAAAATTCAAGCTAATTACCGAGGATGTTCAGGGCAAAAACTGCCTGACTAATTTCCACGGCATGGATCTTACCCGTGACAAAATGTGCTCCATGGTCAAAAAATGGCAGGTGAGAACAGAAGTTGTTCGGGGGATGGTGCTATGGCACGCGTGGCCAGAGGGTAATGCTCTGTCATGGTGTAATTTCAGCGAGGGACGACCACACAGTTCAGGGTTAGGTACCATTTTAAAACCTTGATGTTTTCTTGCTAATTATCGAGTGCTTACTCTGGAATTGGCACTCAAACTTGAGCAACAGTGGGACGCAAGCTGTGATCCTATTTATTTAAGTTGAATTCAAAATGTATTATTGGGATAGTTTTTTTGTTGCATACGCTAGTGGCTGATTGAGGAATGTCTAGATTCAGGTTTATACTTTCCTTTGTCTTCATACTATCTTTGGACTTAAAAGGTTAATGAATTTTATTTTATTTTAGTTAATGGATTTTAAACTGAATGGGTGTTTTGGTCTAGTCTTGATAACCTCTGGCAATACAGGAGTAGCAGAGCCTCTGGTGTGGAGTCTTGGCTCCATTTGCTAATTGTGTTCTCTTTGGCAGGAAACTTACAGCTTGCTAAGCCTTGATTTCTTTATCTTTAAAATGTGGGTAAGAGTGTCATCTCATGGCATTAGGATGAAATCCATATTTAGCACAGACCTTGACACAGAAAGCATTTAATAAACATTACTGTGATGTGGGAAATTACTGTATTGCTTCAAATGTATCTGGCTAACCATCCAGTGTTGGAATACTTTGTATATGGGAGTGAATGGAGACAATATTTTGGTCCCAGATGATACATTCTGATTATATAATTATGTTTATTTATGACATTCCCCTAAGATTTTCTGGTTGCATTTCTGGAAATATTTTAAGGTCCTTTTACTATAATTACATTCATTTTTTTTGAACTAAGGTATAAAATTTACAAAATGCAGAGGAGGAAATTCAGTTTTTATTGCTACCTGAGATAGTTTTTGTGTATTTTGGCTGTGCAGTTGAATATTTAATCCTCAGCATGGCTTTAGTTTGGAACATAAATGACATTTAAAAGTATATATAGTTAGTGTTAATAACATTTCACCTATTCAGAACACTTACTAAAAGGTGGAATAAGAGTAGATGTCCATATTGTAGAGGCTCATAGAAGCTGTTGGGCTGCAGAGTTGTACCGTTGATTGAGGGGAAGAATGTTAAAAGGCTGACACGAATTTGAAAAGTGTGAGGGTGGGGACTGTTGCCAGTGATGGTGGGGATAGAGAGGAGGAGGGAGGATTGTTCGGAGGACTGATTCAATTGGATAGGAAGGATAGTAAGAATTGGGTAAGTTCAAGGAAGTTAATTCTGGACATTTGATACGTAATTTATATTTTATGCATGGTGAGTACTTAACCTTTCCCTTTTTATACATTAGAATTTGAGGGATAAAAATTGATAGTATTAAAACCTGGTATATCTGCCTTGGCTGGGTGGTCAGTTAGGTGGCGCATTGTCCCTGTACACCAAAAGGTTGCAGGTTTGATTGCTGGTTAGGTCATGTACAGGAGGCAACGGGTCTGGTGTCTGTCTGTCTCTCCTCCATCCCTCTCCCTTAAATCAATTAAAGGGGGGGAAAAAAGCTTGATGAGGATTAAAAAAAGGTAAAAAACTGGTATATCTAACAGTATCTCCCCCTGCCCCTCCACTAGACCATGATTGAAGCTCATGTTGATGTCAAGACTACCGATGGGTATTTGCTTCGTCTGTTTTGTGTTGGTTTTACTAAAAAACGCAACAATCAGATTCGGAAGACCTCTTATGCTCAGCACCAACAGGTCCGCCAAATCCGGAAGAAGATGATGGAAATCATGACCCGAGAGGTGCAGACAAATGACTTGAAAGAAGTGGTCAATAAATTGTAAGAGTTTCTTTTCTCTCACCACACAACCCTGAATCTGATTAACCCTTAGTTGAGGGAAAGCATATAAGATAAGGGGGAGTCAGACCTGTGTTTAAACCCTGTCTGTGAAACCATCTTGCTGCATCAGTTGAAATGAAAGCATGCAAATAGCTGAGGAAATCTGATATGGTTTCTTAGTCCTTTTTTAGATGACACTATCTCATGGCAGTGAGGTCGAATAGCCAAAACCCTCCACAATCAGTAACGCATGGGAATAAATGATGACAAAATGTTTCGGTCCCAAATGATGTCCAGTGATAAAATTGAACATTTTTCTGATGTTCCCGTGCAGTTGACTAAAAGGGTGTAATGGAAAAAGCATAAGGCTTAGACTCTGAAGGCTCAAATGCTAACTACTCTATAACTAGCTGTACAGTTCAGATCATTTCATCCTCACCTATAAAGGGGCAGTAGTAGACTGTCTTGCATGGGAGTTAAGTGGATTGAATGAGGGGGGTTTTCCATGTACATTTACGTTACTGTTTTCTGGTTCACAGGATTCCAGATAGCATTGGAAAAGACATAGAAAAGGCTTGTCAATCTATTTATCCACTTCATGATGTCTTTGTTAGAAAAGTCAAAATGTTGAAGAAGCCCAAGTTTGAATGTAAGAAAAAATTACTGGATTTGGGGGGCGGGGGGGCGGATTGTGGCCAAATACATTTTTTGGTGTTTTTTTTTGGGTGGCCAGACAGTGGTTTTTTTGGTGTTTTTTTTTTTCTGTCAAGCCTACACAGTAGTGAAAAACCATTGTTTAAAGATACGGTATGCTATAACAATTTTATTCTTCATTTTAGTGGGAAAACTCATGGAGCTTCATGGTGAAGGCAGCAGTTCTGGAAAAGCTACTGGGGATGAGACAGGTGCTAAAGTTGAACGAGCTGATGGATATGAACCCCCAGTCCAAGAATCTGTTTAAAATTCAGACTTTTAATGGTGACAAATAAAAAGGCCTATTTGTGGTATTTTATTTCTAATCATTCTTTTAAAATAATCTTACAGTTTGGTGAATCGTATGTTCTGAGTTGATAGTAACGTGAAGTTCTCTGTCCTCTTGTGGATTTTATTTATTGCTCTAAGTAGCAGAGAAAGGGTTGTGGTTATTTTCAGCTGTAGTGATCTGGAGGTGTTAGAGGTGTCTAGTAAGAGGAAACCCTTTTTAAACACGGCTTAAAGTTTTGATGGTTTTCAAGCCATCTGGAAGGCTTGTTGAAACACTGCAAGGTCCTGCCTCTGGAGCTTCTGAAGTTGAATGTGATGCTGATGCTCAAGGACCCTACTCTTGAGTACCACTGTGATAGACTGACTACTGGGAACAGCCAATTGGCTTTTAGTTTTGTTTTCCGATACAGATGCTCTTTCCTGTAGCTGTAAAGTACCCCACTGTGCCCCTGCACTGTGAAGCTGAACTTGGCTAGAGAAATTGGTTACTGGTCTTAATAGATGGGTATTTAATGCAGCCCAATATCCAGTACTTACTCTTCCAACTCCATCAGTTCTGTGCCCTTCCTCTCTTCAGACCTCTTGTATTTACCTGATGTCATTCCTTTCACCTTGCCAAGTATGCATGTGTTCACATCTGCTTTGTCACTAGATGAATTGTTAGGACATCCCGTTTGAACATAGGATTTCCCTCCCTTCTGCCTAATCCAGCTAATGGCTCCAGCAGTTATTATCTACCTCAGACCCCTTACAGCAAAGCCAAGAGTTGACCATGCTTTTTTGTATTTACTTGAATCTGCTGCAATTAGGGCTCCCCTGTCCCCCATGCTACTCTAAGGAAGCTGTTGCTGTCACAATTACAATTGCCTTTGTTGCTAAAGCCAATCGTTAAATTCCTGGCCTTCACTTGACCTGACCTGTATTAGTGGCATCTGACAGTTGATTTCCTCCTGTTTTTCTTAACTGTCCTTCAGAGTCTCACAGTTCTCCTCCCATATCACTGGTTATTCCTTTGCTGGTTTATCCTTGAGACCTTAGTGTTGCAGAGCTGTAGGCTCAGTCCTTGGACATTTACCATTACCAGAAAGTAACCTGTGCCCTTTCAGATTAGTATGTGGGCGAAAAAGTGGGTCATGAGATGTCTCCGTTGTGGACAAGTTTTTAGCCCATCAATTGCCTCTAATTATTGACCAGTAATGCCAAGGATTAGCAGGTCAGTTTAAACACAGGTTGTAATGACTTGTCTGACCTTCGAATACATCTGGGTGGCTTAAAGACCTGCTCCATCAATACCACAAGTCTACATCTGCTACTGAGTGTTATGGATAATAGCCTTAATTAAATGTATGAAGTTCTCAACTCTCCGTTAATCAGTGCCTGATGCAGGAGTGTATTTATGTAAAAATTCTAGTTTGTCCAAGAAAGTGTCATGGCAGAGGAGGGAATTGCGAAAGGCAATAAGCTGTAGATCCTGAGAGTGTTCCTATGTGCTCTTGTTGGGTATGCTGAAAATATGATTCTCTGCTCTTTATCTGGGACATTTCTCAGAGTTGTATTTGTGTCTTTGAGAAACCTTGAGGGATAAGGTAACGTATCCCCCAGAAAAAGGCTTGTTTCCACTTAGTGTTCCTATTCTGTAATGCAACCCACTGCACGATGGGGCCCTTTGCATCACTTAGGTGGGATTAGGGAGTGGGGCATGGGAAACACATGAACGTGGAGCTCTCCTTTTGCAGTGAGTAATAAAGTCCTTTCATCCAAGAGTCGAGTTTTGTAGGTGTCCATTGAAATTGGCAGGCTAACTTTTTAAGCTAAGTTGGGTTAAAATGTCCGGCACAATTCCTGGCACTCCTCAATTGTTTTGAAGCAGTATTTCACCACGTGTCTCTAAAATGACTTAAGAAAACAATCATTAACACCTCCAAGTTTCTTAGTACAATTCCAGTCACACCACTTAATGGATAATTCTCTCTTGGATATAATGTAATAGGCAATGCAAGTGTGGCAACTATGAAGGGTATTTAACTTCTATTTGCAAAGACCATGAAGTCAAGTCCAAGAAATAACTGGAGGTTTCATTAGCTCTTAGAAGTCTGCAGTACTGTAATTGTTATGTCAAAATATAACCACAGTGGCTGAAACTGATAATACAAATAGACCAAGAAAACTGTTGATAAGGATGTGGAGTAACTGGAACAAAATAGTGGTGGGTAAAATGATACAACCACTTTGGAAAATGGGTGGCTTAAAAAAAAACCCACAATTCTAGGATTTCAAATAAATTCTATGTACACAAAAAGATGTTTAAGAATGTCCATACCAGTCAATTATATAAAACGGAGAAAAATCCACACTGGCTTTATTCATAATAGCTAAAAACTTGGACAAGACCCCACAAGAGAATGGATAAATCAGTCCTGGCCCAAACACTCGGAGCATTGTCCTGATAGGCCAAGGTTGGTGGTTTAATTTCTAGTCAGGGCACGTACAAGAAGCAACCAATGAATGTGTAAGATAAATGGCACAACAACGTTTTCCTCTCCCTCTAAAATCAAATACAATTAAGAACAAATTGTGGTATTTTCCTATGATGTACTACTGAGAAAGGGAATGAACTGTTGCACAAACTGTGTATTTGAGTAATAAAGGGAATGAACTGTTGCACATACAAAAGTATATTTGAGCAAGGAAAGAGCAGATACTGTGTTCTATGTTTATGAAGTTCCAGAACAAGCAAAATGAGCCTGTGGTGATAGAAATGAGAACAGTGATTGCCTCTGCAGGGGTTTGGGGTAGGTGAGGAGGATGTAACTGGAAAGAGGTATGAGGAACTTTTCCAGGGTGATGAAAACGTTCTTTATTTTACTGATGGTTATGTGAGTGTATATAATTGTCAAAACTCAGAATTGAATACTTAGCTATCTGCATTTTATGCAAATCATTCCCCAATTAAA